AATTAGACCCTTGGCTCCTAGTCCTTGGCTCTAACCACTAGACCATGTGGCTTAGTTTTGTTCCCGGTACTGCCTGCTGGAGTGTGGTTTGTAAAGAAAAAGCCTCAGTGTGACTAATAAAGAGAGGCATTTTATACAGCAATAAAATAAGCCTGCTTCATTCAAGCGTGTGCTGGTGGCTCCATGAATGTGAAGTCAGGGGCTGGTTCTATGGCTGTTTACTATGTTAGGCTAAATGGCAGATTCCCTCTGGGTTTGCACATGTTTGCTCCAGTGGGGCAAGCTGCATGGTCCTGTGTGGAACAGATGTAGGCCCTGTCCACATTAAGGCAAGTCACACCAGTGCAAAGCCCTAGTGTAAACACACTGCATGAGACCACAGCAGGGCTTACGCTAGTGCAGCTTACTCCAGTAACGTAGCTAGGGCCTTACTGGCTGTGTCTGTTCCCAGTAGCTATTATTCATAATAGAGTGTAGATGAGGCCCCACTCCTTTGGTGACACCTAGTGCTACACTGGCAACTTGTCAGGAGTCTGAGGCCAACATTGGATTTGTATATAAATGGACATACATTTAAAAATCACATGCAATTGGGTCTAATCTTTGTCTGATCCTCTACCTCCCTTGTTCTATCACTAGACCATTCGTCTCTGTGTTCACCAGCAATAAAATAGCAACTACCTACTAACTTTACCCTGAAGTTAGACAGGGAAGGCAGCTACACTTTCAGGCAAAGGTCTATCCCTGGTTGGAGATACTCCCCCTTCCTGTAGCCCATCTTACCAGATGCTCATTACATAGATGCATTTGTTTTCTTTTTAAATCTTCTAAGGATCAATACAGCAAGATATGGCAGGCACAATACTAGATAATAAAACACAGCATTGAGAGCCATATAAGGAATTCCAGTAACTTAACATGCTCTCCCTGGAATCTGATGTGATCCTGATAGAACTGATTACTGAGAACAATAGGCCCTTAAAGTCAGCCCTGGATAGAAATGCAGAACTAAGCCCAGAAAGGATTATTGACAGAAACAAAGGGGGGGAAGGGGGGCGGGGAACCAAATCCTAAATGAAAGGTAGCTTGTGTGTGGTGCAGGTGATCTCATGTCCCTCTCTTGATAGCAGGTGTTGGACAAGGCTGGTTGAATTTGTTGTGTGGGGTTAGCCTTCCCCCTCTCCCCCCATTTGCCAGTGGTCTATGAGCACATTGCAACACTTCGATACTGTTATTATTGCCCTGTGGCAGCATATAGGTGTCCCTAGTCATGGCTCAGGACCCCATTGTGCCAGGCGCTGGACAAACGCAGGGCAATGTCCCCCCCACATGCCTAAGCCTCTGGATTGTTTGTAGCGAGGATCCAGGGGGACAATGCAGTTGGAGCCTGGCGATTGGGTGCTGAGGGCACATGGAAAGTTTCCATTCCCTCACTGGGTGATGTAACCTTCACAAACTACCCAAATGCTTTTCAGTTCACCCTGAATGTACATTTCGTTTCTCCCACAGAGAAGCTGTGGGCTTGAAATTCCCTGCCCGGGAAACCCTGCGGGGGGAAGACACTGCGGCGAAGGGTTGCAAGAAGCGAAGAAAACTGGAGGTGTGTGAAAATGCCCCAACCCAAAATGTGGAAGCTGGATCCCTCCCTCCCCCTTTGTCATTGTTTTTGCTGCTTGCCCAGCTGTAGCCGCGCTGGGGACAGATTGCAGGTCCCATAGACAGCGGCTCCATTTACTGAGGATTAAACCCCAGCGCCCGATGGGGGGTGGCCGCTGGTTCTGTTGCACAGGTGCTGTCTTGTCTTTCCATGTCGGCAGCACTTGTCCGCCGGCCGGCCTGGGGTCCCCAGGACAGCTCAGCCCCCTCCTCCCTAACAGGCGTTGGAATGGGGAGGGGGCAGGTCTAGCGGCTGCCTGCGGCCAGGGAGCAGGCCAATGACTGGCGTCGGGTGCGGCCTTGGGGCGCTGGTGCCTGCGGAGAGCTGCCCGGGTTCCCAGGCTCCCCCAGCCCCGCTTGCTTTAGCCAAGCAGCGCCGCCCCCACCTGGCTGCGGGAAGGGCGGGGCGAGGTACACCTGCCCTGGCTCTAGGTGGGCTGCCGGAGCCTCTTCCCTTTCCCAGCCGGCGGTGTCCCCCCTCCGTGCGGGGGCCGGGTCCGCCCCGCCCCGCCCCTCCTGCGCTCCCGGCCCTCCCATTCCTCCCCGCCCCGCTGCCGCTTGCCGAGCGATTTGTCCCGCTGCAGGGCGGGGAAGCGGCTGCGTCGCTGTAGCCGGGCGGAGAGCCTGGGATGCCGCTGCTGAGCCGCTCCCTGCATAGCCTGACTCCGGATCCGCCAGCCAGGTGAGCGGGGCCCTGCACGCCTGGGATCGCAGCCGCCGCCCCCCCCAGCCGTTCCGATCCGCGACCCCTCGGTGGCCTGGCTTGCAAAACCCGAGGGGTGGGTGTTTTGGGGGCCGTGCGGGGGTGTGTGTCTGCCTCCGAATATCCCCTCTCCTTGCAATGTCTGCTCGGTGCCCCCCTCCCCCCATGTCCTAGGTGCAGCCGCGTCCAGGTGGCCTGCTTGTGATTTCGCCATCGGATTTACACCCCCCTTGCACGTTGCCTGTGCAAAATTCCCCATCTTTTCCCCTCCGAGAGCCCGCTGGAGAGGGGTGTGTTCCTTTCTTCCCCCTCCAGCCTGCCGCTCGCTATTGCACGCTAAATCTCGGTTCTGAGGGGCGTCCATTTCTGGGGGCACAGATCCGGCGCGTTCCCTCCTGATCTCCTGGTTTGAAGGCTCAGGTCCCCTCAGACTTCCTGCCTTCCCCCACCCCCGAAATGGTGACTGACATCTTTCTCACAGCTACCATCTCCCTCCCTCAGATCGCGGGGAATTCGCTAACCGGGAGCGGATCCGCTCAGGTCTGGGCTTGGAGGTAGCGGGCAAGTCGCTTGGGAGAGAACAAAATGAAGGGGAGACGCAGCTTGTTCTGGTAGCCGCTGAGCCTCTCATATGCGCACACACACACACACACTCACATTTTGCTCTGTGTCAGAGCGGAGATCAAACTGCAGGCTGGTGTGTGTGCATGTTTGGCGCTGTCCTAGGAGGGAGGAGCTGGAGAGAACCTACACTGGGGAAGGAATGGGGAGGAACAAGCATCAGGGATAATCCCATCTGGGGTGGGCTAAGCCACAGTCCATAGAAGACTTGTTGGTGCTGAAAGTTTCTGGGCATGGCCAGCTCAAACCTACCTGATTTGGTTTCCTTAGTGACACACCCAGTGGAGCAGGGAGGAAAGGGGAGTGGTGAGCCAGCCAGGAAGGCAGAGAGACCTTTCATGGGGAGTGGCTTTTTTTTGGTATATACTAAGCAGGTGATCTGTCAGGGCCTCTCCCCTCTGCCAAGGTCAGATGACTTTGACCTCTCTTCCCCTTCAGAGAGCTGGAAGGCACTGAAATACTAGCAGATCTGCCAGTCTTGAGCAAGGCTGGGCCACCACGCCCAGATCTCTGCTCCTCCAGTGGCTGTGATATGAATATTCTCTCTGCCACCACCTGTAGTTTTTTAGATGCCTCTGAATTGGTTTCCTGTAATGTGCACAAAGAGCTTTAAACACTGTTTATTTTCCCACCGCTTTGTACAGGGGTGGGAGTATGTACACACTTCGGGGGATAGCAAGACATGATCTCCCCTCCCCCAGTGCATTTGCAATTGAAACACTGGGGGTTTGATCTTGCAGCAATGAAACAGTTGGGTATGTTTTGCCTTCTTAGATGGGGGCAGATTTGGGCCTCAAGGGTCTGATCTCTCTAAGGCTTTGTTATGATCACAGTTATTGATTTGTAAGAAGAGTTCCCCAGGCACCCGCACCAATTCTTCTACACTACACTCTGGAGAAACTTCAGTGCTCTTTTTGATGTGGATGTCCACAACAGTTAAGGCTACATTTCCCAGTCTCTGGCAGCTGAGGGGTTAAATAAATCCCCCAGCCAAACAATAAACTGCAAATGGGGGTGAAAAATGTGTATGATTCTGGAGCCCCACTGAAAAGTACAAGCCAGGGTGCCTAAGGAATTTAGGATCAGACTCAGATTAGGGAATTCTAGGGGGGAAATCTGACCGCAGGAATTCCTCTGAAATTGGAGCTGCTGTTTTGCCCTTAATAATGTTTGATTGCAGGAGTGTTGATGTCAGGAGGATAATACACATTAGAGGAGAGTATGCAGGGATCCAGGAACAACTTGGAATGGGTCCCTGCATATTTCCAGGGTTATTTTTGGAATATCGTCAGATGGCAAGAAGTAGGCTCTGGAGGTATAATAAAGCTTCACACTTTCTTAATTGTCTGATTATATGGGAGATTGGGCAAAGGTATGGGACCTTGCGAGTCCCCTTCTTTTACCATTGGTGCATTTACAAGATGGATTATTTCCACCACGGCATTGCTCCCCTCTTGCGTTTCTAATGCTTCCCTCAATATTTGAAATTATGGGCTCTTTCCTGAGCAAAGAACAGATTGTGTGTGCCCTTTAATTAATACAATATATCATGGAAGTTAGAGATGGAAAAGCTTTATTAGATCATCTAGTGGTTGGTGGGAGCTAGCTCCTTATGTTCCATTCTCTGGACCTTTTACCAGTTTAGTTTCAAACCTCCCCAGAGGAGTGGCTTTCCCCACTTCCTTGGAGAGATTGTTCCATGCTCTAATCAATCTTGCCGTCAAGATGCTTTTCCCTGATCTTCAGCATAAATATTCCTTTTCCTCAATTTTCTCACGTTAGATTTGCTTGATGTTTTTTCAGCTTCAAAGCTATAAAGAGCTAGAGATGTGTTAAGTATATTACACCTCTACCCTGATATAACGCTGTCCTCAGGAGCCAAAAAATCTTACCGCGTTATACGTGAAACCACATTATATGGAACTTGCTTAGATCCGCCGGAGCGTGCAGCCCCCCCCCCCCCCCCCCCCCCCGGAGTGCTGCTTTACCACGTTATATCCGAATTCGTGTTATATCGGGTTGTGTTATATCGGGGTAGAGGTGTATTAGTCTGAGTTATGCCCCATTGGGGTGCCCTAAATGATTGCTCTTTCTCTCTGGTGGCTTTACCCTTCTCAGCTATCTAAGGGAGCTCTAGTCCAGAGTGGCCCCCGGTTTACGTGTGTGTTAATGTCCATATCCATGGTTTTGTGTGTGTGTGCACGTGTGTATGTATGTGTGTGTGTGTGTGTGTGTGTATATATACATACACACACACACAAATGATGCTTCTATGCCGGATTTAACACGTAAACCTATTTCTTTGTGTTTTGCCTCACTGCAACCCACTGGAGAGCTCTGTACCTGTCAGATCCCATTCCCTCTCGCTGCCTGGGCTGTATGCGGGCTGTAGAGTGACTGTGCATGCAGGGAGTTGTTTTAGTCACTCGCTGTGGTGTTTCTTTGTCTTTTTCAAACTAGATAAGGTTGATCAATGTGTGCTGAGGAGAGACGGGGCAGGCTTATGGGAAAGAGCTAGCACTAGGGAACTTTCTCTGAATAGGAAGGCCTTGATCTCATGTGGTCACTGGACTGGAGCCTGTTTGTTTACATAGGTAACTTCCTGGTGCTAGTGCCCATGCTCTCAAATGAGACCAAAGCTTTGTAGACTCTGTCCAATGCCGACTTTGGCCCCCGGCAGCAAGAACAGGGACTGTGCTGCAGGCTCTCAGTGCCAGCTCTTGATTGTAATGTCAGGTGCCAAATTTGCTGTTGACATTCCTACGCCCAAAGCTACCCTTCCCTCTCCCCTCCTTACGCGCGCGCACACACACACGCGCACTTGCAGAAGATCTCTCTCTCACACACAGGCTTGCAGAAGATCTCTCTCTCTCTCACACACACACACACACACACACACACACACACACACACACACACACACACACACACACACACCCCTTGCAGAAGCTCTCATGCATGCCCTGGCTCTCATGCTAGCCCCCATTGGAATGCAAGCTGTATGTAGCATTACAAATGCCACCTCCCCTATGTCCCCCCAGCGAGGCCTCTTATCTTTGCACATAGCACAGGCCTCCCCTGTGTCCCTTGCCACTGGAGCAGTTGCTGGTAGTGGGGGCATTTGTCTTTTCTGTTTACAACCAGTGTGTTGTGTTTAGTGCTTTAACAGCAACTTCAGGTGGTAATGGAAGCATGGAATCAGCCATTACCATAAATAGCAAAGCAGTGCTCCTACTCCTTGGGAGTGTGGCAGGAGCACATCTGTCTTGGGGGAAGCTGTGGTTTGACACCGCGGCTCAAGAGGCTGGTGGATTGTGCTGCTTGTCTGTGAATCTGCCATCCATTGGCAGTTGTGGCTGAAGTATGATCCTCCCTGTGAGTGCCGTTCTTGATTGCGTGGTGACATTGCAGATCCACTCTGCTGGCCTTCAGGCCAGGGAGAGGAAAATCTCTCTCTTCTGAACCTCTCAAATTTCTCTCTGATTGAGATAATAGCCGTCATATCCTGGGGTGAGCGGAGTAGCAATAACAAACATTTTCTAGTCCTCTGTGGATTAAAATAATACTACACTAGTATTTAGGGTGACCAGATAGCAAGTGTGAAAAATCGAGACGGGGGGGGGGGGGTTATAGGCGCCTATATAAGAAAAAGCCCCAAATATTGGGACTGTCCCTATAAAATCAGGACATCTGGTCACCCTACTATTATTCCCAAGCGCTGTGACTTGCATTAGCATTGCTGCAGTGTGCTGGCCGATTAGGAGGTTTTCAAATGCACATGGGGTACTGGGACACTGAACTCCCATTTGTGCCTTGGGAAATCTCCTCCTCAAGCTAGAATATGAATTGTTAGGACATTAGTAAAGATGGCTTTGAGGGTACGGTACTGGACGAGAGCTGGGTTCAGTTCCCCCACAGGCTCCCTGGAAGGTGGTGTCCCTGTGCCTCTGTTTCTCCATCTGTACAGTGGTAATATCTCATTGCTTGTGAGGGTCTCGGATGCTACAGTGATTGGGGTGTGGGGAGTGGGCGGAGCTTAGATGGAAATACTGTCACTTGTAATATGGCTTTTGGTTTCATAGCAAATCCAAGATGGGAATTGAGCTGGCCTATCTCTCTATATTGGGTTTTGCTATAGTGCCTGTCACTTTACAATCTAAGCCCTTTCCCCAGTCAAGGAGACATGGGTCAGAGAAGATTCCTCAACCCCATCGTATGGGAAGCCTCCCCATGCTCATCTATGCGAACACACATACACAGTTATCAATATGCTACTCTAATACAACGTCTAAAAATGCGCTCGCCCAGAGAACGTGACAGCTTCGGCTGAGTGGCCTATTGTTCTCGTTGGAGCAGTC